GATGAAAACATAATTATATGATGGTGTTAATTTTCCATTTATTGCTTGTTAGCTCCCTGAGCCCTTTATTTTCCTTCGACAGCCGGTGAGAAGTTAAACTTTGTCAGTAGAGGGCACTAGAGAGACAACGCAAGAGGAAGAGATTTTCCTTGTTCTGGTGTGCCGGCGGCTTCTCTGGTACCAGCTCTTGCCGTCCAAGTGGCTTATCGGCCTCTGGCTCCCCCAGTGCCCAGCTCCTAAAGCTTGACTAGCTTCTCCGGTACCAGGCTGCTGGTATGGCAGTTAGAGCACCTCGTGGTTGGTAGCTTCCACTCCCTGTACTTCTATGTGCTCAGCTTTTGCTGGCACCCTGGAGAGATTTCCAGCAAGTTCTGGAGGGTGGATTTTTAGCAAACTCTGCAGCTGTGGCACCACAGCAACTTCTCTACTATTCAGTGAACCACGGTCATGCCTCCTCCAGCAAGGTCTGCATCTCAGCCCTGAGGAGGCCTCTTGTTAGTGCTCTATCTCAGCCTTGGCGGTGAGGGGTAAGTGCTCCTTGCCTCTGCCATTCTTTTATTCTGTAGTGTTCTCACCAGCCAGTCTGCCATGACTCCAGTTTCCTCTTACAGTTGATCATTCTTCATAATAGGCCGGGCGCAGTGGCTCAGCCTGTAATCCCAGCACTTTGGGAAGCCGAGGTGAGAGGATTGCCTGAGCCCTGGGGTTTGAGACCAGCTTGGGCAACTTGGTAAGACCTCGTCTCTGCAATAAATCTAGCCGGGGCTGGGCTCTGTGGCTCAGCCTGTAATCCCGCGCCTTTGGGAGGCCGAGGTGAGTGAATTGCCTGAGCCTGCAGGTTCGAGACCCGCCTGGGCAACTTGGCGAGACCTCATCTCTACAATAAATCAAAAATTAGCCGGGCGTGGTAGCGCGCTCCTGTAATTCCAGCTACTTGGAAGGCTGAGGCGGAAGGGTCGCCGGAGCCCAGCAGGTCGAGGCTGCAGTGGGCGACAGAGTGAGTCTCTGACTAAAAAAAAAAAAAAAAAAATCTAGCCGGGTGTGGTGGAGTGCGTCTGTAGTTCCAGCTACTTGGAAGGCTGAGGTGGAAGGATCGCCTGAGCCCAGCAAGTCAAGGCTGCGATGGCCGTGAGTGTGCTATTGCACTCCAGCCTGGGCGACTGAGTGAGACTCTAACTCAAAAATAATGCTAATACTAATTCTTCATAGTAAGCTTTTCCTATTCAGATTACTCTGGTTTATGCTTTGTGATTGGATCCTGGCTGATACCATTTTTAACCAAACATTTCAAGTCTGTGATCATCTTATGTGCATTATTTTTGTTTAGTAAAATTAAATTAGTTAACATTTATATAGCCTTTATTTGCAAAACAATGTCATATCTATTATTCTTTAAATCAACTTTTAAAAAATAACCTTTTATTCTTTCTCCTGGCCTTATAGTCTTACTTAATTTGTCAGTGTTTTGTCTTTGTGGTTAATATTTTTTGTATCCTATTTTTAAAATCATTGCCACTCCAAGGTGATGAAGGTGTTCTCTCATATTTTTTTGTGAAGGTTTTATTGTTTTACCTTTTACATTTAACATCTGTTGTATGCCTGGAATTTTTTTTTTTTTTAATGATGTGAACTTGGGATCTACATTAATTTTTTTCTATATAAATATCCATTTTATTCAGTACCCTTTATTAAAAAGACCATCCTTTCCCTCCTACACTGCAGGATTATTTTTAGTATAAGTGTTAGTATGTTCATGTAATCTTATCTGTTCTATTCTATTTATCTAACCTTGCTAGTAGACCTTGATATCTAGTAGTGTAAATACTCCAGTTTTGTTGCTACTTAAGATTGTCTTGGCACTTCTTGGCCTTTGGTATTTTCACGTAGAATCAGCTTATCAATTTGCACCCAAAATCTGTTGAGAGTTTTATTAGTATTATGTCTTGCACTTATTTGTCAGATTTCTTCCTAGGTCTGTGTGTATTTGATGCTATTATAAATTGTGTCTGCAAGACTGCAGTTACAGGCTAAAGTTGCCAGTCCAATTCAGGAGTCAAAAATGTCTAGTAATATGTTTACTTAGCTGTATAGAGAGATACCATGAGTATAGCATCTTCATCTGATCTGGAGGCCTAATTACTACCCAAATACATAGCATCAAGTAAAAAAGAATTCTTCAGGGATCTAGACAAAATTGAAGCAAGTCATCTAAAAGGGGAAAATTAAGACTGCTTCAAACTTCTCCATAGTTTCATTCAGCCTGGAAGACAACACAATACTTACAACCTTTTAAAGGAAAGAAAGACCACAACATTTTATGGTTAAAGTCATTTTTTTTTAGTATAAAGGCAAAATACCATGTTTTCAAGAGCTTGAAAAGTCAGAAAATACAGTATCTATAAGTCTTTGAAAAAACTATGAAGATAGGTGATGAAATATAAACAAATGAAACTTGATTATTAAACAGAAGAGAGAAGGAAAAGCCATGGGGGAGGGGAAACTGGTAGTAGGCACTGTGTCCATTAAAATATCAGGGGCTAAAGACAAGGATGAAATATAAGACTTATCATCTGACCCAGGAATTCCACTCGTAGGCATGCACCCAAGGTAATTGAAAACATGTCCACACAAAAACATGTATGTGAATTTTCATAACAGCATTATTCATATTAGCCAAAAAGTGGAAACAACCCAAGTGCCCAAATGATGAATATATAAACAAAGTGTGGTAGATCCATACATTGGACTATTACTTGGCAATAAAAAAGAATGAAATCTCAATACATGCCACATGAATGAACCCTGAAAACATTATGCTAAGTGAAAGAAGCTAGACACCAAAAAGGATGCATATTTCATACTTTCATTTGTATAAAATGTCCAGAACAGCCAAATCCCTAGAGACAGAGAGTAGATTAGTTGTTGCCAGGGACTATGGGAAGGAGGTAATGGGTAGTGACTGCTAATGGGTCTGGGGTTTTGTTTTGGGCTAATGAAAGTGTTCTAAAATAAGATTGTGATGATGGTTGCACAAGTCTGTAAATATATTAAAAACTGCTGAATTGTACACTTTAGAAGGGTGAACTTTATGATATGTGAATTATATCTCAATAAAGCTGTTACTTAAAAAAAAAGAGAAAACAGGAATGGAAAATGTGGTTTGCAGAACAGAACATAAATCCTTGGTAATGTGGAATATAAAATTCTCGACAATGTGGAAATGACTAATAAAAATCAGTAAGTAGGACAGGGGAGGTGGGAAAAATTAAGAGTGTGAATTCCATCTTTCACAGCAAAGAGTCATGTGCTATACAAATTAAACATGTAAAAATCAGGACTCTGATTTTTTAGTGGTTTTCATATTCAATCTCACTTTCTTTTGTTAAATTAAGGTCTTTGTAATACCTTTTTATTTTTAAGCATGCCTAATGTCCTATAAAACTTGTCTTTTCTTAATTCATCCATCCATTCATATGTTATCAAACATTAATGATGATAATTTCTGGGCCTTGAAATATTTATTTGATTTTTCTTATACTTTCCTGAATTGCTTAACCTTTTTTTTTTTTTTACCATAAATGTATCATTTTCTGAAAAAAGTTAAGTCATTCTAAAATAAATAATCTGCTACTATAACCATCATTAAATCAAAAAAAGTGAGAAGCATATAATTTTATTAATAACATTAGGGAATGAAGGAGAAACTTTTACACTCAGGTTTCAGCAAGCATGCATGCATGGGTTTATTCATTTTTCCAGACTTCTCTGAGTACCTTGGTAATATGTCAAGTGATGAGGATAAAAGTATGAATAAGAAATAATCCCCGACCCCCAAAAACTCATAGTCTAGTAAGACTTGTTATATTTTTTGACAGCATTAATTCTAGAGAGTTTTGCTGTGTATTGAGTGGAAATTTGCTTCTCTGCATCTTCATTGATCTTAATTTTGATATTTTAGGGTCATAACCAACCTCATTAACTTTTAGTTTAATAATCCTTCAAATATTTGGAAACAGCAGTCTCATATATTATGCTGCATTTAATTATTAAGTAAATATCTCTTCTCTGAATGCTTTAGTTTCTCAGTTTTGTTTAAAGTAGGGTCCCACAAATAGACAACCATCCCAAAAAGAAGCTGAATTAAAGCAGAGGAAGTAGGATGACTGCTGCCCAGCTCTCTCAATTTTTACCTATAAATACTGCTTTAGGTAGTATATTGAGATTTCCTCCAAACTCACTCACCATTGACTTTCCGTCTTTGGAAATTTCTTGTAGGGTTGTCCTTATTCTGTCTCACGTAAGCCTGTATTTGTGGTTTGCAGTTTCTCATTCTAATTTGTAAAACTTTGCATTGTCCTCAACTGAGGTTCATGGAGTTTGTAGGACCCTCCTCTGTCCCCACCTACAGGTTGTTTGAAATGTATTCTATTTAGGAAAGGGAGTAAAGTAGTTGGGAGTAGCTTCATAGATACCTGTCCCTTTCTTTCTTTTTTTTCTCTGGAAATTTTTTTCCTGCAGTTCTTGGTTCTCCTGCTTCAACTTGGACTGGGTAGTCTCTAGTCCTTTCGTCCAGCTGTAGCTGGGCCTTTTCTTTGCCTCTTCTGTGTTGTGGCCCCTGTTTCTTAGATCCCATGCCGTCCCTTCTCATGACTAACTTCCTTGTGTTGGTTCATTACGTTCTCTAGTTGATTCCAGAGAAGAGATATATTTTTAAAATCCTTACTGAAAATGTTTTCTTCTACCCTCCCAATTAATTGCTGATTTGTCTTGATATTAGCACCTATGCTGAAGATCATTCTTTTGGAATTTGGAAAATATTGTACCACTTTATCCTACCCAGAATCAACTTTATAAAATACTGTTTAGCCATTTATTTCTGCATTTTTGCCTACTTATTTCTGCTACTGGGCTTTTGGGTTTGTTTGTTTGTTTGGCTGGTTGGTTGGTTTTGTTTTTTGTGTGTTTTTTTGAGACAGAGGATCACTCTGTCACCCAGGCTGGAGTGCAGTGGCGCAATCCTGGCTCACCTCAGCCTCTGCCTCCTGGGCTCAAGCGATCCTTCCACCTCAGCCTTCTGAGTAGCTGGGACTACAGGTATATACCACTATGCCAGCTAATTCTTGTATTTTCTGTAGAGAAGAGGTCTCACTATGTTGTCCAGGCTTGGAGTTTTTATGATTCCTTTGCTATTCATGTTTGAGCTTTGTTTTTGTGAAGACAGGAGCAAAAATCAAATCAAGATTCATTGTCTTTTGTGTTTTACCAGAAACAGAAACTAGAAATATTACCAGAAGAATGAAATTTTAAAGACATGAAAAATGCTAACCCCAATTTTTTTAAAAATTACACAGACTAACAGATTCCATAGATTAATGTAGTTCTGTATTTATCTTGTCATACTTATCCATAGACCACACTTCCAGTAGCAGTGGTGGAGGCTGCCTTCTCCAACTTGTTTTTTGCTATATCTCTGAGGTTCTTTCTGAGATCCTTTTCCTGCTTGCCTTTAGAATTTCCTTTAATGGATGTGCTGGTGATTCGTTTCATTTGTCTGAAAGTAGCTTTGTTTTATTTCTATTCTTGTAAGAAGCTTTTGGTGAGTACAGTGTCATTTTTTTCCTCCAGAACCTTGAGAATATTTTTCCACTGTCTTTCTGAGAAATCACCTATTTAATTGTTGTTAAGGGCCAAATGAATGTATGTTTACTTAAAGTGTTATTGATTAAGCTAATGTATTCCTGTGTTTTCTTTTATAGGGAATACAGTGAGTAACCTGATTATGATCATACCTCCAATTTGGGGTGCAATTCAGAGTGTTAGAGATGGTCTGGAAAAGCGGTACATTGCTGCTTATTTAGCACTCACAGGTATGTATCACACTTCATCTGAAAAAATGATGTACAGTATTCAAATTGGATGTTTTTCTCACTAATTTCTGAAAGCAGTTTTCAATTTTGTTTTTTCATGACACAGCTTGAGTATATGAAACTTCTTAGTTAAAACTCTACAAACCTTGCCAGTATATTGAACTGCATTTTTGAATAGTTTTTTAGAAATTACAAAATATTTTAAGCATATAAAAAAGGATAGAGATAATATAACAAACACTCGTGTATCTTATTATACCCAACTTTGTCAGATCCTAACAGTTTGTAATACTTGTTTCAGATCATTTTCTTTTCTTTTTTTTTTTTTTTTGAGTTGGAGTCTCACTCTGTTGGCCAGACTGGAGTGCAGTGGCCGCTCCTGGCCACCGCAGCCTCGACCTGCTGGGCTCCGGCGATCCTTCCGCCTCAGCCTTCCGAGTAGCTGGAATTACAGGTGTGCGCTACCACGCCCGGATAATTTTTTGATTTTATTGTAGAGATGAGGTCTCGCCTGCCCAGGTGGGTCTCCAACCCGCAGGCTCAGGCAATCCACTCACCTCAGCCTCCCAAAGGCGCGGGATTACAGGCTGAGCCACCGAGCCCAGCTCATTTTCTTTTTTTAAGGAAGTAAACTACTACAGATAAAATGTACTCTCCCTTTGTATTTATCCAGCCTGATCTTAATCCCCCTTAACCTTCCAGCCCACCCCCTGCAGAGCTAACCTGTGTTCTGAATTTGATGCTTATTATTTTCTCACATTTTTGTGTTTATACTATGTTTGTATGTATGTATTCTTAAAAGTATACATAGTATCGTTTCGCATAGCTTATAACTTTTTGGAAAGAATACTGTCTAACCTTTTGAAACTTACTTATTTTCTTCTACTTGTCTGTGAAGTGGGGACTGTGTCTTAATCATCTTTTCTTCCCCATTGTCTGGCAGTTTAGTGGTCCCCAATAAGTACTGGATGGATGAATCAACTTTACCAGAGCCTAATGTGGGGAAATCACTTCTGTCATGTTCTCACATCATCATGATAAAGAAAAAAATAACAAAGAAAGTAGATTCTTTCTGGTAGTTTATTTCTTTTTTTATAACTCTCTAAACACAATTTATTTTGTTTGAGTCCATGGTGGGTATTAGTTCCACATGGATAGAAAAGACTTCTAATTTCCACAAAACTGTAAGCTGTAGTATATCATGTCAGAAGTTGCCACAACTAGATTATGCATTGGATATGAAAGACTTTAATTTTGGAATCTATAGCAGTACTAATGTGCATGGCATTTTAAGAAAGTTACTTGATTTATCTTCAGAAGGAAGATTTATCTATAAGCTTAGCCCTTTGTTTTATTTCCTGTGGTTTTAAAGATTGTTTATAAAATATGGACAAATCACAGTCAGTAAGAATAATAAGAATAAAAAGATATAAGGGACTTCAGTGTTGCCCTAGGATAATCAGTGGCCTCCTAAATTAGAGTGTGTCCACTTAATTTCCCAGGAAATGAAGATTAATAAGGAAAGCAAATAAAACTACATGTAACCCACACTTTCAGCCCTACTAGAAGAAAGCGAATATTATGAACTTCAAATTATTTTTAAATAAGAAATAAACCAAATTCTATTTGTGATATTTTAGACTTGAGGCTGTTTGAAAAACTATATGAAAAAGAGTAGAGAACTGTGGCCTAAGTTTGACAAAAACAATAGGAGAAAAACCCTGTAATAAATGTAAAACTTCTAAAAGCACTCTAAGGTCTGATCACAGTAATGTCTAAAGGTAAAGGACTTGAAAATATGTAAGACCTATGATAGTAGTTTTGGAAAGGCATCACTTCTGGGAAAGAGATACAAAGGGAGTGATGCCCTTTGGAGACATCTTAGTGATGGGAGAGAAAGAAGTTAGAGGGGGAATTAAGATCCTACCCAAACAAAAGAAAATACATGAAGCTATTCTCCCTTCACCCTCTTCTCCCTACAGGGAGTGTATGTGTATAAAACATATATGTCTATATATAAATATAACAATAAATATATGTTATATATGCATAGATATTATTTGTATATATAATATAAAAATATATATGAATATATTTATATATGAATATATATGTGAATATATATATTTCATATGAAATATGTATATGAAATATATATACATATATGTATATATATATGAATATATATAAATTAATATATATTAAGTACATATACATATATATTTCATATATATGTATACATATATATCATATCTTTCATATATTTCATATATATATAAATTAATATATATTTATATATTAAATAAATAAATATATATATATGAAATTTTACCATTCTGACAGAAGTGGGCAGCCTTGAATTAGGAATTTTGTAAACCACCTAAAATCTTTACTCTTTCCATAAAATGGAGTCCTCTGGAAAAGATGGTCTACTTCCATATATAATTACTATGAAAAGAAAACAAAATGGAAATCAAAATGCTTTTGCTAATGGAGGTTCTTCCTCACAACAAACTATGAAACAGAAGGAAAATGTAGCAGAACACTCCTAAGTGAATTAAATAGTTTCAAATAAATGAATCAAAAATTTAAAAACTAATAACAGAAATAGCTCCATTCCTCCCCCTAATAAAGAAATAAAATTAGAATTTATTGAACTTAAGAAGGAAATTAAGACTAAATTACAGTGTCCTTGAGGGAGACTAGAGTCTCCTGAATATTTAATAAGGACTGTGGAAGAAGGGCAGAGAAGCAAACAAGCTAGTGAAAATGAGATAAATAAAAGGATCAGAGAGAAAATTACTGAAATGGAAGATAAACAAAAATCTAACATACATATAGTTGGAGTTCCTGCAAAAGCAAAACAAAATAATGGAACATAATTATTTTCAAAGCTATAATTCAAGAACACTTTCTGGAAATAAAAAGACAATCTGTATATTGAAAGGTCTGTTTTTGCCTGGTAAAACTGACTTAGAGTGCTAAATTCTGAGACCAAACCCAGTAAAACGACTAGATTTTAAAAATGAAAATATTCTCAAAACTCTTGAAAATAAGACTCGATCACTTCAAGGGCAAAAAAAATTAGGCTGGCTGGCATCAGACCTCATCAGCAATATACAAAGAAAACATTTTCAAAAAAACCAAGGAGACAAAGTATAAGCTAAGGATTTTATATTCTAACCAGGTTGTTCTTTAGGTATTCAGGTTATAGAAAAACAGTTTTAAACGCATTAAGTACTGTACACACAACTCCTTCCTGATGAATCCATTAAAATAGCACTGTTCAATTTAGTAACTGCTAGCCACATGTGGCAATTTAAATGAATTACAGTTAAATAAAATGTAAATTTCAGTTTCTCTGCCCCATATTTCAAGTGTTCAGTATCCACATGTGGCTTGTGGCTACTGCATTGAGTAGTGCCGATGTAGAACATCTCCATCACTGCAGAACCTTCTACTGACCACATTGTCCTTCTCTTGGTTAGTGTTCATCTAACTAAGAAAAGGCTGGGAAAATTTGGCGAGATGTCTGATGGTGAACATTTAATATATTTAGCTATAGATCTAAAACTAAAACAGAGATGAGGTAAGGGTTACTGAATATAGTGTATGTGTATGTGGCTGGGCTTGGTGGCTCAGCCTGTAATCCCAGCACTTTGGGAGGCTGAGGTGAGTGGATTGCTGATCCCCGTGGGTTCAAGACCAACCTGGGCAACTTGGCGAGACCTCATCTCTACAATAAATAAAAAATTAGCCAGATGTGATAGCCTGCGCCTATAGTTCTGGCTACTTGGAAAGCTAAGGTGGAAGGATCACCTAAGCCCAACAGGTCAAAGGCTGTGGTGAGAGTGCCACTGCACTACAGCTTGGGCGACAAAGTGAGATGCCAATTAAAAAAAAAAAAAATAGTGTATATAAAAAAAAGATAGTGTGTGTGTACGTTATAGGTTCTGATAAAATAGAAAGAATGGAACTTTTAAAATTAGAGAGGGAGAGAAAAAAGGACAAAGTAGAATAAGTTCATAACTGTTCCCTAGGTAATATGTTGGGCATTAAAGAATGTGATTTAAAAGTAACAAACCAGATAGTAAAAGGCTAAAAAAGAAAAAAGGAGGGGGCCTAAGAGTACTATAAAAAAGGCATAAATGTAAAAACAACACTTGGAACAACTACAAAACATCTAAAAAAAAAAAAGAACATACAAAATATCTTTCCTAAATACCAAAAGAATTTATTTAAAGAGTGAAAAAGACACATTGCTTAGAGAAAGTAAGACAGTGTGTATAAAATTATATATGTGATAATTAGAGTAAAACAACATGACAGAATTGAAACTAAACATGTCAGTCAATATGAATTTGCTTAATTTACCTGGAAAAAAAATAAGGGATTCAAGGCTGGGCGTAGTGACTCAAACCTGTAATCCCAGCAGGGAGGCTGAGGCGAGTGAATTGCCTGAGCCCGCAGGTTCGAGACCAGCCTGGGCAACTTGGCGAGACCTCATCTCTACAATAAAAATCAAAAATTAGCCGGGCATGGTAGCGCGCACCTGTAGTTCTGGCTACTTGTAAGGCTGAAGTGGAGGGATCACCTGAGTCCAGCAGGTCGACGCTGGGATGGCCGTGAGTGTGCCACTGCTCTCTGGCCTGGGCAACTGAGTAAGACTCCACCTCAAACAAAAAAAAAATTGCTGGGCATGGGAGTGCATGCCTGTAGTTCCAGCTACCTAGAAGACTGAGGTGGAAGGATCACCAGAGCCATGTAGGTCGAGGCTGCAGTGGCCATGAGCGTGCCATTGTACTCCAACCTGGTGACAGAGTGAGTTTCCCACTAAAAAAAAGGGGGGGTTATTCAGAAAAGTTAGAAATAAAAGTATGGGCAAAAGCATTTCATAGAAATAGAAATAAGAAGAAAGCAGGGGTAGTGATCCTGATACCATATAAAATGGAATTCCTTTAAAAAGCATTAAAGGTGACAAAAAAGGACTATATAGTGTT